TTTTGAACATCCATTTCGATATAACAAATTTTCTATGTTGGTTCCTGGTCGACCAGCGGTCCAAACAGGTGCCAAAAAACCATCTGAATCCGCTCGCTCGATGGTACGTGACTGCCGCCAGCCACCTGAAGGGTCTGATAAGCCACGGGCAGCTGCAGCCAATTGGCGCCTCTCACCGCGATTCGTGGACACGTGATTCTGAACCGAAATGACCCAGGGGACGACATCGATGGGATGGAGGAAGACATCTTGGCAGGAGTATCGTAGAGTGCCTAGTAGAGGAGGATTCCTATAAGCAGGGCCAATGGGACTAATATATGTGTGTGTATGTCTAATATGTGCATACATTGATCCCTCAAACTGACCCCATTCAAGTAAGCACATATTCCATGCATGGAGCGTCTGGGACAGGAAACTGCCAGGACGGAGTTCATATCGAGTCGAGTGCAACAGATTGTGGATGATCAATGTGCTGGAGGGCTCTAAGCATCCTTGGACTTGCCCAAGGCCCCCCCTAACAAGCACATACCCTAGGGATCCAAGTACCTTCTCAGAAGGTGTTTGGGGTGGGTTTGGAGGGTCCAAGTGCCTTCTGAGAAGGTACTTGGATTCTTAGGGGTAGAATTGGAGGTGTAACGAGATGTGTGTTGTTACTTCCTCACTGGCATAAGCAAGGGTTGTGGACCAGCAAAAGCTGCATTTCGGACTCTAGTCCACCAGGTCCATGGTAGAAGGCGGCCAATGTAGAAGCCGTCATAGCCTTGTGAATCTTGTTGCAAGATTCTCTCCCAAGCTTGCTTCCCATGTGGCCCCCCCTCATGCGATAGGAACTGACAACAGTCACCTGGGAAAGCACAAGCATTCGAGATTGCGAGGGAGAGTGTATGAGCGTATCTCTTTGTTTGGCTAAATGGATGGTAGGTAGGTGTTGTTTCTTTGGAGGGGACAAGAACTGCAGGACATTGTCATCTGACGAGAGAACCGTTCAATCATTCAGGTCTTATGTCATCATGTCTGAGCCGACCTGCTGGTCTATTGTCGACATGATCGACATGTTGGTGTTTGATTGGACGCGGTATATCCTATTCCCTGAGCCCAGTGGATGATGATGGTTAGGCTGCAGGCCTTTCCATCTCTTTTCCATAGTGATACGTGTTGACTGACTCATTATAGGTAAGAGGACACCCTCAAGGTATATATGCCGCGCCTGCTTTGATCACGTTGAGGATGTTGTCCACGGGGTAGAAGGAATTGAGAAGCCTCGGAATCACCGCAGGGTTCGAGGGTTCGATGGTCCGACCTGTTGGGAGGGCAGTGATCGCAAGGCCCTGGCAGACGAGCCGTTTCCGGAACCTGTCAGGTAATCACTTAATATAATATGATGAATAAAATAAGAGGAGATAAGAGGAGAACATACACTCAAAAATACTATTGGGCGTGAACAACTACTTCCTTTGAGTTCAATTTGGTCTTCCGGGGGGAAGTCGATGTTCTACTTCATCCATGATTAGTTCAGGGAGTCTCAATTAGAAAGAAGCTAAACCCTCCAAGATGACCAGACTCTGAGGATCTTGGTCGAACACCGAGCCGCAAGAAGCTGGGCATCCATCCAGTGCCGTAGGCCATGTCCAAAGCGTGCGGGTAACGTGGCCAAGCGTTCCTCGGGGCACGAGACTCCATGTCCAAGCTTCATCCGAGTCCATGGAACCAAGCACGTCTAGGTATGGTCCCATATTAGATCGTCTGATTCTATCACAAGTCATCCAATAATAGGACTGAAATAAGTGGTGTATAGGGTTGTCAATTGGTGACCCCCGAACGGTGGCAACTGGTGTAGAATGCGGCATGTGAACATCTGATGCTCATCTGAAGCGATATGTGCATTCAGCGTGTGGAAACATTCTATCTATGTCAGGATGGCCCATAGATGTCCAACAGTGGAACAAGAACGACACCTTGGCAAACTCCCTATAGGGAGTTATTTGAACCCAGAACGATCCGAGAACCTCCTATTTACACGTTCCAGCCGAAGCAAGTACATTGACGCACGTAAGTGCGCTGGAACGCTCTGGAACGCTCAGCCTCCAATCCCACGCAAATGGAAAGCTTTGCAAGTTACAGTACTGTTGTCAACCGTAGGAGCTCACAATCTCAGTGGAGCCCACAAGATGGGGATGGGTCAAAACCCCTGGAGCTGTAATGAGCTTGACCTTCCAGGTAGGTCAACGAAGTCATCCTTGTCTTGACCTACAGCCATATAGGTCTCCGTTCTGCTGGTTCTTCAGCTCTCTCCGTCCCTCCGTCCGTCCCTCCTCCAGCTCTCCCCACCAAGGCTCTCGAGGAAGCCGACACTTTGGAAGGTCGAACGGTATTCCTTGGCGCCCCAGCGGTGCTGCAGTGGCTTGGCGGTTCAGCGTAGCTCCATGTGACCATGTGAGTGAGTCGGGTACCCGGGGTTTCTGGGGGCTTCGGGCTTCAGCCAACTTCACCGGGTTGAGGTTTCGATTCCAAGCAGTTTTCGTTCCTCCGGCGCCAAGCTGCTCGCTTCTCGATGACCTGCGCTTCTCGAAGGACGTTTGATGGAGAAACTCGTCTTGGCGAACACGAAAAGGAAGGAACCATCGATTCCTGTAGAGACTCTGGGGTCAGGTAGTGGTTCAGGTTGACTTCACAAGACATCCCGCAGCAACACCGAATAATATCAAATAACTACCTGGACCCTTTAAAGGGGTGGTTAATGGATACCCCTTAACCTCTAAGCAGCCATAATTCGACACCCCTTTAGGGGGACCTGACTGGGGTCCTGCTATAGGCTTCATGCTTTCGAATGATGTTCACTCACGCACCCAATGGCCGGCGGCCAATCCGAGGTCCACCGTTCAAAGCCAGTCAACTGACTGTAGGTCATGGCACCCGGACTTGCTTGCTTGACCTACCGACGTAACTTGGGAGGTCAACTTACCCTGCTTTGGGGCTCAGGATTTTGATCCACAGCCAATTGCCAGTGAAGCCAGCCTGCGGCCAACCAACAAAGCTTAAGAACCGTACAGGCTATCCTCGATTGGGGTGGGCCTTTGTAAGATGAAGTAAGTAGCAGGCTGATTGAACCATTGAGCATGTGCCGACATGTTGTGACGTGTGACAACAAGGGGCAATCCGACGAGCGACTGACTAACTTAACCATGACTGAGGACATTCAGAGCAAATGGCACAAGACCATCACACAACGACATTGTCAAGCACTCCCCTAAGGGGATCAACATGGAACCCAGTTGATCCCCTATGGGTCCCTGGGTTGGTAATCATTCAGAAACTCGGAGCGTCGAAACCACCGGTCTTTCTCAGGTTCCATGGGATCCTTTGTATCATTTTGCTCCCAAAACCTCCGAATTTTCTGGGCTTCCCACGCCATGCATCCACATGGACCGGACCGGCTCTAGAGCCGAACCGCGCCTGGTTCGGCCCGGCCTTGGTCCCGGCGCTCCTGGGTGACGGCACTGGTGGTTTCTGGGTAGTGGAAGATGCTCCTCCCAAAGTGTTTCTTTTTCAGCTTCCAGGTTGGAGGGAGGGTACAGTAACTATTTCGTCTTCAGGGAAGGGAATCATGATCAAAAAGGATAACCAAAAAAGGATAATCTAAGATAACCCCCTTTCTTTCCTCCATGTGGGTTGCTTCCTTCGTCCTTCCTCCGCGGAGCTCCTTCCGGGAGGCGAGGCCGTGCTCAGCAGGGGCGTCTTGCCCGAAGACAAGGTCCGCAGAATGCCTCTGCCGTGCAGGCCCGTGGCGGCACGTGCAGGTTGGGTGGACCGGGCAAACCAGATCTTGGTGAGGGTCTTTGTTGGCTTGCAAGCAGGGTGGGCAACATGGATGTGTTATATTGGGATGTGTTGGGTACTGTGGAGAAATGGAATGGGTTTGGGCTGTAGGTTTGGATGTTGGAGGGAGGATGTGGGTGCCGCAAATAGAATGTCACAACAAGGTCGAAGGGGACTTATCTTGCTGGTCTGCAGCTGTTTTTTTGATTGCATGTGTGGCTCGTGAGGCTCACTTATATGACCCAAAGCTGGTAGCTCTACGGCACACTTGGGTCCCAAAAGTCCCAAACAAAACTTATGGTCCAAATGTTCAATTGCACGGTCCAAAAACATTTGACAATCCTGGTGTGACAATCATAATTAGAAAAAAAACACATGGTTGCCCTTGCACTTGCAGCTTGCATGATGCCTCTCCGCGGTTCATCACCGGATCAAACGGATGTTTACAGTAAAAGAATGGCTACCAGTATTCCCTTTGGAATTAGGGTAGGGTAGTCGTGGCAGTGTGGTAGTAGATGCAAATCATGGTTATCCACATTAACAAAAGACATCAGCAGAATCATGCATGAGTGAAAAGAACGGTGCAGCCATGAGCAGCCTCTAGACTATAGAATCGGAGCATAGCTTAATGGAGCCAATTGATTCCGAAATCCCAATCCCCTTCAACACGAGAAATCCAACCAACTGACTTAAGGTGTTTTTCCAAACATTGGTCTCTGAAAAAAGTGGACAGCAGGACTCCCGAAACTGGACCCAATACACTGCTTAGATGCCCAATAACAAGGACCATGCCTGTCGATACTAAAATAAAGCTGGGATGTCAACGTTACGAGGATCACACATTTGCGGCCAACTGCCACCATAAATGTGTGGAATCAAATTGAACCACCCAAGCTTCTTCAAGCGGAGCCTCTCCGGTGATTTCTGGGAGAAAAGTATTTACTGTATAGGGGGTAAATATATGGCACGATCCCCAAGTTTGGTGGTTTGTAGTGGTTTATACGGACCGCCAGTCCCCCCCGACAAAAAAAACACACAACACATGTTGGGTAACGGTTGCCAGGTTTTGCCAATGCCATCTACTCCGAAACTACCATATTCCAGGTGGTCCCTCTTTGTACCACTTAGTGATCACTCCCGGACACCCCACTGCTCTCCCCGCTGCTCTCATCCCCACGGTGTTTTCACGTCTGGCGGCTGCCGCCAGCATCCGATCCGCCGCCAGTGATATCGATGTTGGGCCCCAGAGCCGAGCGAGCGGAGATATTCTGGTCTGCCACCATGATCCTTTCGCGCCCAGGGGGCTACCCAGTGGGACTCCAGTGGGCTATCCAGTGGGACCCCAGAGGCAGTAAAAAACGATCCCAGTTGGGGACTGCAGTGTGCCCAGAGGTTGAAGGACCCGAGGTAGTGAAAAACTATCGGAGTTGGGGGACTTCAGTGGGCGAACTTCTCTTGGCGGAGCACGGACACACGCACCCGTGACATCCGGCGCACGAACCGCCGTTGCTCGGTGCCCTGCGTGCTTTTGGGGGGGACGAACAGGTAGCACTTGTGGGAGACCGGACAAAAGAATCAGCCGCACGCGGCGTGTGCCCTTTTTACAGTCTACATCAACGACTCAAGTTCATGTGGGCTTCTCCAAGAGGTAGCAATCATATGCAATCATCAGATTCCCAATCCAAACCATTCCCTGGCCTGCCTCACAAATGATCCTCATTGAGTATAGTAAAACCCCACTTGAAAAAACCAATCCATTTATACCATTCGTCCAGAAAATTGTTGCACTCCACGCCGCGAGCTCCCGCACGGCTAGCGACCTCCAATTAGGGCACGCGAGCGTCCCGCGTCTTGAGTCTTGAGCGTCTCGGCGAAGCCGCGAAGCTCAGCTCCAAAAACACCATCCACCACCTGCTTCCAACGAGTCATTTGGCTCAACCACCCTAATGTAGACTCTTGATTAATGAGACTCCCATATAAAGAGGATGTCCAATTCAACTGGGTGCGGTGGGTAATCAAGAGACTACATTACCCTACTTAGACGCACACTCTGACTCACTAACATGGAAGTGGATGGCATGGGCCCAGTGAAGACCATGAAATCCTCTAGAAACCATGTTAGTGAGTCAGAGTGTATAGTATATAGGTCTCCACACAGGGCACCCAGACAGGAAGTGCAACCATCATCCAAGCGTCAATCCAGGGCAATCGATGACCTCCTCATCCGCCACCTGTTCAAAGAGCAGCGGCTTCCGCAGTCCTTTCACCACCTGGAGCGCCGAGGCGGAGGTACGGTACGGAGGTTGCCTCGGGGTCTACGTGCGGTGATCCTCCAAGGACTGGATAGACCATATACAGTACTAGATACAGTATATATATATATATATATCATGCTATAGCATTTGCCTGAAGATTCCTGAGGTACATCAGCTACATGAGCACTTATAGTATAGACTCTATTCCTATATAGACTTATGATCATATCAGACAGGATTAGGGAGCCAAGTTCAGTTCCTTCACGCTGGCCCATGATAGGGGCAACCAAGCCGTTCTATCCGCCCTGGCAAAAGGGCTCGAACACCTGTCTCAGCTCCCCTGTGGCGGGGTCGATGGACCGAGAGCTCGCCACGCTCGCTCGCCTTGAGCTGCTCTCGTGCAAGGACCATGCCATACTCCTGAAGCCGAGGGAAGCCGAGGACACCTGGGGGAAGACCAAAAGGGGAAGCCGAGCTTTTCCACCGGTGGATGCACTGAGGGGAGAAAACCCGAACGCTGCAGAAAAGGTTGAAGGATGTTGAAGGTTAGCCACTGACTGGGTAGCTTACAGAAGCGCCCCAGGAGTTGCAGTGGCATATGCCCAGGTCGTAAGTCCTTCTGAGAGTGGTTGAAGCGAACCAGTGGACTAGCTGCGAGCCCCCCCCTTACAAACAAAGAGTGCGTGGATTTGGCGAAGCTCGAAACAAGACTTCATCAACCAGAATCACCTTGGATCAGCGGCCTGGCACCCCCGGTGTTTCTACCGGACGATTGAATCAATCGACCTAATGTTCTTGGAAGCTATTAACCATCAACCCCCCAAGAATGTGGACTCTTGGACGAATAACCCATAAAGCCTCGGCCCTCAGGGGGCTTACAGTATCTCCCAAGAGTCTATATGATGAGAGATGTTGGAAGCAATGACACTCACGGTCTGCAGCACCAGAGTCTTTTCCTCAGCCGGATCCTAGGGCCTGAGCGCACGAGTGCACCTGTCGACATGCGCGAATCAGTAGCACCAAAACGCTACCTCATCGCTTAAGCGCCGCTAAGCTGAGTTAAGACTCAGTTCTATGAACTGAAAATGGCACGGATACACATTCAAATTCGCATTCGTAAAGATTGCAAGTGTCAATCTGAAAACACTTGCCATGGATGCATAAATTTCCAAAGCAGAGCTGAACTGCAATTGAATTACCCCCTTTTTTTTTAAATGTTGTAGGGTGGGCAAAAGCTAGTGTTCAAGCATCATTACTTGACCTCTTGAAAAATACCAAACAAGTACGGTATACAGTTGTGGCATGAGAACATCACCCATATACATGGGCATCGGTGGCATGGGCAGCTCTTCAACCACAGACTGATCGGGTCTGGGAGGAACCTCCACTTCATCTTCAGACCAGCCACTGTCGTCAGCTGAGATATAGTTGGGTCCATGGAAAAGCTCTTTGCAGATTTCTAATGCCAAAGAAAGGAAGGCAAAGCCACCCAAAGCTACGCCCACAGTGATGCAAAGGCAAAGGAAACCAAACAATTGGAGACCCAGAAGCACTGCCCAGAGCAACCAAGGCAATGTCCATCTCAACCACAGTTGTAGCTGGCCCATGCAAGGGCTAGGGAGTCAGGCACCCGGCGTACGGGCTGGTACCGAAGAAGCCGCGCCACGATCAAGCTTCCATAAGAGGAAGCAGGCTTTGAGAACGCCTTCATCGGCCTCGTCCTCAGGCTCCATCTGCGGCTCAAACTTGGCCACCATGGAGTCGAAGTCACTCTGGCTCAACTTTGCAGCTTGGACTGCAGCCCACTCGGAGAGGGGCATAGATGCAACTTTGCAAAGAACTGACCTCTTGCCGAAGACGGAGGAGAAGAACTCTCTATGCTCAACCTTCGTCACATTGGAAGCATCTCCAGCGCTGTTTGGTGCACAAGGCGTGGAAGGCCTCTTCCGCTTGGAGGAAGGCGGGACAGCCTGCTGAGCTTTCATGGTGGCAAGCTCTTCTCGCATGCTTTGGAGTTGCTCAGCCAAATGGCATTGGATCTCACTCTTGGTACTCACCTGCGACGGCTGATCTTGGGAGCGACGCTGCAAGACCTCTTTTCGAAGCTCGGAGAGGAGTTGCGCTGCATCGGCCTCAATCTGAGTTGCCTGAGGTGGCTGAGATTTGGTCATCTCTGCCCGAAGAGATGCAATCTCATCATGGAGGAGCTTGAAGCTGGCATCCTGAGCAGGAGCTGGCTCAGCACACTGGTGTGAGAGAGCCGGCGTGTTCATACCAGCAACGGGGGTCAACACCGAAGCAATGGCCTGCAACTGTTGCTGAGCAGCAATCTCACTTTGAAGCTGATTGAGCAATGATGGCAAGCTGGTGCTTTTCCCATTTCCTTTCCCTGCAGATTTCCCATAGTTGGTGAATGAGCCGAAGCGGCCGCCACCACCACGATGATTCCAAGAGGAGCCGTATCCACGCCACTGGTAGCCGGACATGACTAGCAAATGGGCCGGCTTGTGCTTGCTACAAGGTCAGGCTTGAACCAATATAGTGAAATTAATCAAATACCCAGAAGAACCAAGCAAACCAAAACCAGAGAAGTGCATCAAATAAAACTTCGAAATTCAATCGCGCCAAGCGTCAGCAATCCGCGCAAACATGGGATTAGAGAGATGTCTGACCCAGGTGCGGCGCACATAGCTCGTAGAGAATCCACTTCTCTGCCATATATTCATACAATAGAAAATTGCGTCGGCCAGACCATCAACATTATTATTGCAAACATTTCCTTTTTCCATCCAAATAGATTTGCATCAGCCTCGCCTGCGTACCCAAGATTCTAGCCTTTGCGTTTTGAACTTCTAAACCGTGAAAGGGTTCAAGACGAAACTTCTTGGGGTGCGAGGAAGTACCAGCAATCCACTGTTCTTCAGGTTTTTGCATCGTCAGCAGTAATTCAACACCTTGAAAATGAACATCCATATCCAACCATGTTCCACAGGAAGCAGAGCTATTCTGACGTTCATACTGCACGCATGACTTCTGACAAAGACTTTGGAAAAGGCATTGAGAGCACAGATATGGGCTGATAAGACAACAGTCATCTACGTATCTGCAAGCAGCAACTTGACGACGCCACAAAAGAGATGCATCCAAGCCAAACTGTACCTGTCGGTGATTGCTGTATTCCCAGGCATACTCTTCAGCGCAAAGTACAAGTGAAGTCTGGCATTTACTGAGTAGACCACCTATGGGAACACCGCGCAGCTGCCTATACACAAGGTTACCAACAGATACGAATTTTTGGCTCAAACTCAACATGTGAATAGAACGGAGCTGCTCAAAGGTCAGTAGATCTACGTTGTTGTGCTTGTGGAAGTTGTGTTTTGCCAGAAAACCATGTAGCTTGCGAGTTTTCAGCACGGCTACAACAATATACCCTGCATCCTTAGCCAGACCAATGTAGAAATCCAAGCAGGTCAGCACCAATCCAGAATCAATTGCTTCGTACATGGCGCCAGCATCAGCAACAGCGACTTCGATAGCGTGTTTCTCTGAAGAACAATTGGTGCATTGCAGCAAGGGAGCCACAGGGTGGACAATATGTTGGAAACGCCGACGAAGCATGGTAGCAGCAGTGGACAATGAAGTGACTTCATCCCCCAGACCAAGCTTGATAATCAATATCATGGTAGCTCGGGAAACTTTTCGGAACAGATTTTTCCAACTACGTTCCATCAGACTGTAGCTAACAATCTTTCTCATACAACTGTGTGTCTCATTGCAGCATGTTCGTCGTCCAGTCACAAAGCATTTTGCTTTAACAGTTGCATACATGTACGGCAAGCTGCCCGGCACCACAGTTGGCCGCCAGCGAGGACCAAATCCCACGCAAGCCACGCTATCAAAACAAGCTTTTTTGAATTGCCACGCATCTTCAAGACTCAAACCAGTCAGCTCCCATTTGGAGGCCTCTTTTTCAAGCAGGAAAATGACGCTAAGGCAATAGTCACGGATGGGAATGAGCCAAGCAGCCGATGGATCTTTATCTTCTGCAACCAGCACTTCATCCAATGAAGGTTGCACAAATGCATCATGCATCTTTCGGTCATGATATTGAAAAGAAGCCAACGCACTGCAAGTCAGCTGAGCACAACGGGAATACAAATCATTCAAAACCAGCTCAAAGACCCCCAAAGGGGAGCACTTTGCAAACATGCCAAATTTCTTCATATCATCAGACATCTGTTGCCACAGCTGTCCAGCAACAATTGGCTGTCGCATCTTATGAAACAGCTTGAGCTGACGAAAGAATTTTCCATTCCAAGCACTCAATTTCTCCGCACGATCAAACCCCAACCATTTCTTACCATCCATGTTGCGAGCCACTCTGACCATGTTAAACCACCTCTTGTAAGTGACCGCAGCATCTGGAACCAATGACACCATGCTAATAACATGTTTGAAGCGCAACCGAGAGCCCGATCCAATTGAACGCCAATGGTGGTTCAAAACCTGCCAAACATCGCATGTAGCAACAGGCCAGGGAACTTTCCACACAAAAGTGCCAACTCGAGTCTCCCCAAAAAAATTCGAGCAACCTATTCAAGCGAGCAACAGCTACTGATCGAAACAGTTGAGAGTGAATCACGCCAACAACTTGGGCAGCATGAAACAAAAGGTTGCGCGCAACACGCTGAGTGAGTTCCGCAAAGTCAAAGGCATGCTTTGGTCGGGAAAGAAATGCAACAAACAATAGAGGGCAAAGAAAAATGGAAAGCGGTCCAATAGCTCGTCTCATCTGAAGCTGCTTCATGTACAGCAATCGAAAAGGCATGTTGAGTGCGGTTCTAGGGGCCAAAGCTTCAACATATTCATGTGGGTTCTCAGCAAAAAACCATCGCCTATCAACAGTGCAACCAAATGCATGGTATGCTTGTCGTGATTTTTTCGCGGTCGTAGGCGTTTCTTATGATTTGGGGTACGATGAGCTGCATGGGCTGTGTTTGCACTAGCACAAGAAACACGAATGATTAGCTTCTCAGAGACATCAGCGCGATCTGTGGGAACACTGAACAGATAGTACTGGGAAAAGTCGGCCAAGGTCTCATGCCAAGGTCTCATGTTTGAATGCTCGTGCCTTCCGATTTTCACACCGACCATCACGGTTGTGAAAAAATATGTCATACAAGTGTTCAATACCTCTGGCCGAGGGAGCTCCAACGACACCTGCCCGCTCATGCTCTGATTTCCCAACATAAGTAGCCGATCGACCAATGATGCAATAAATACTGCACATATTGATGCTCACAGCTGAATAACCAACGATGAATTGCATAGACAAGAAGGTGCAAAGAACTCGGGCCTTTTCATGTGCAGAACCAGTGTCCCGCAAAACATCTTGTATGGTGGGTGGAAAGCAGCTTATTTTCTTGCAAGCGTGTTTGTGCCTACGCTTCCCGGCGTTATATTGGAATGAAATCAAGTCCACGCGACGCTGCAATACAATGAAGAAGCCAAAGAATATGAATATGCGGCCCTGGCGCTCTGAAACGTAGTATGTGATGCCTCTCCCCCATGAATTGTCGCCCCAAAACCAAAATTGTGCCTGTATCATCTAAGAAGCTCTTCAAATTGCACTGACTAAGTCCACACATGCATGAAACAGTCGTCACCAACAAGAGTAGAATGGAAGAAATCGCGTGCAAAGAGAAAAACCGAGCCATCAGGTGCAACGCATTTAAAGCATCTGCCCAAATGAATACGTTGGAGTCATCACGCACATAGCAGGATTCAAGGCATGCGTTCAAAGCATCACAAAGCGCCGAAAAAGCACGTTGATCTGACACGGCAGCATCGCCCAAAACTTCTTGTAGCCTGTGCAAGGCTGACAAATTTCTTCTCATCTGCAAAATCAAATTTTGATATGAAAAGCGGAAATTTGTGGAGAATATGGAAGCAAATCAATATGAAGGCCAATCTGTAGGCAAATATGTAGGTTGAATATGTAGAATATGTAGGCTGTGACAACGTGCCGCCGTAGGATGTTTGGTCCCGGTAAGCACGTCAAAACACAATGAGAGATGTTGGAAGCAATGACACTCACGGTCTGCAGCACCAGAGTCTTTTCCTCAGCCGGATCCTAGGGCCTGAGCGCACGAGTGCACCTGTCGACATGCGCGAATCAGTAGCACCAAAACGCTACCTCATCGCTTAAGCGCCGCTAAGCTGAGTTAAGACTCAGTTCTATGAACTGAAAATGGCACGGATACACATTCAAATTCGCATTCGTAAAGATTGCAAGTGTCAATCTGAAAACACTTGCCATGGATGCATAAATTTCCAAAGCAGAGCTGAACTGCAATTGAATTCTCTCCAAGTCTATATGTTGAGTAGGGTAATTACTCCCCTGCAGAGGACCACATGGAACCCCAAAACCACGTCGGGTTGTAGAGGAAAATGGTCTTCAACAGGTCAATTCTCGGGTTCTATGTTAGTTTGCGGGGAAGTATGTCCCGTTACCAGCAAGAGTGGATGATGATGTTTAGGTTGCGGTTGTTTTGTTCCATCTCTAAACTCGTGATTTGCTGGTGAAACCCGACCGACTGTGATGGGTCATGGGACCAACCCAAATCGTCACGCTCCTGGAGCGCTGATTCTGTCACACGCTCCATCTCCATGCTGTTCATGCGGCAGAAGGACCTAGGCGCGAGACGCCACGCCGGCACGCGACCTCTCGTGGGCCGTAGGGCGGTGAAGGAGTGGGATGAGAAGCAATGGCGCTAGTCTAGGCACCTTGGGGGGGAAAAACAAACACCTGTGTTGAATTCATAGGATGTGACACCAAGTAGACGAGGAATGACTCAATCCTGTGAAGATGAATTTTCTTTGGGCGGTCTAGGTATTTTCGAGTGGATCCAACGAAGTCCAAGATCTTGATCGTCTCCAAGCTCCGTTGAACCCCTCCTTTCGGCCAACCCATCCAATACCGGTCTCTTTCGAGCGGCGCGTACATCAACTCGAAGTCTGCCAAGGTCCAGGTGCGGCAGATGATGAAGCGATGGGACACGCCGGGCAAGGCTTCACCCTTGTCCTCCTCCATGGTACCTGGGCTGAAAGCAGCGAATCACTCAGCAAGTACTGGAAACCCGGTCCGAAATGGTCAGATAAATCATTCCTGCATCCTGCATCCTGAGGCATCCTGCATCATGCAACACTCCCCTTCTGAATGCCCTTTCATGCCCTTCTTTCTCTCCAACTGGTGCCTGCCGAAAGCTACAGCTCCAGGATCTTGCCACTGGACCTCCTCCATTAAACCTCTACGATCTGAGTGGCGACAGCCTCAAGCCTCCAGTTTCTACCAGGACCCTCCCAGGCAGGGGTGTCCCCCAAAAAAACAACTCCTTAAAGGTGAAGGGGAGTCCCAAAACCACCCTGTTCGAGCCACCTAATTACCCAAACCCCTCCCAAGCATTTTCTGTTCAACAACTCCTTAGCGGTTAACTCAGGGGTGGTCAAAACTGTTGGAAGCTCCAGCACAAACACCCAACAGCCGGCCCGGCCCGGCTCAAGCTGACGGGTCGACCCGACCCTTCCGGGCGATTCGGAGTTTTCAGAGAAGGACACCTCCCTGAGTGGATCACCTGGGGAACAAATCGAGAAACAAGCAACACATCATAACATGCGTTCGTTTGATCAAGTCTTGGCATGGACATGGCCTCCTGGGCCCCATGGATTGTGTCGGCCCTCCATGTCTGATTTGGAAGATGTCGATTACCCAAACGCGACCCTGGACCCTCCGTTCAGTAGGGGTCCGGACCTTCAAATCCCTCGGGTTTTGAGGGACCAAGAGCTGTTTGAAGCGTCTGGGCACTAAAACTTGGAAAACTCCGCCACTCCCAGGCACTGTGAGCATTCACCTGTTCTCCCGCTTCATTGAAGCCTGCGATCCCCAAAACGGGCGACCAAACCGGTGCGCCGCGGGGATCAAACACAACAGCGAGCCAAAGGCGTGCGGCTGCGGCCGAACGGCGTTCCGCGTCGGGCTTCGGTCTCCGTCTGAATTCGATGTTCCGACGTGTTCCGAGCGGAGAAGGACTCCTCTGACTCTTCCGCCCGTTTTCTTGGAACCCGATGGCTCCCGGCCGTTCGGTGGTTAGGGTGGGTGCCAGGGGGGGTCTCACCACCGAACCTGAGGATATCGACCTGTTTCATCCGGTTGGTCTTTTCAAAAAGGGATGTGTCACCGTGTCACCCCCAGGGATATATCAGGATATATCCACACCCATCTCCTGGATAGGTGCAAACGGGATTTTTCACATATCGCATTTCAACATACGGATTAGACATGATCGAGTCGCGTAAATGTTAAACGACACACACATCGAACAAAGAACAACAACACGTGCCAACACGTGCTATGATGGTCAATGGTGGCAATTCGATCGATTCGATCCGTGTCGCACCATTCCAGGCGGTGGTGTTTTCGCTCCACCAGCCGCATCCGACCGTCACCAGGCCTTCCATGAACAACTGACACACCAAATGGTTCGCGTTCACTTGGTCCTCCGCACCAGGCTCTGCGCTTCGAACTCATGGCGTGGGCGTGGGAGTCTCGAGGATGCACAGGGTTCGGGACCGAATGGGTAGCTGTGGCGTATCCCGTGCCACTTGCAGGACCTGATGGACATGCCGGACCTGATGGGGTCATCTTGTAACCGGAGCCACGTTGCGCGGGCACGACAGCTATACTATAGCCCTTATAGGTGTCCAAGCACCATTAATGTAATAGGCTTTACCGAATCAACTAAGGATTTTACACAAAAACCAGATCAACCATTTTTGTAATGGTCTTGCAAGTCTAGGGATACTTTTCCCAGTTCTTTTGAAGAAAACGGTGGACCTTCCGGGGCTCCATCCCCATCCACTCAGCTGTGCATCGAGTCGGGGGACCCACGTGGCCACATGGGACCGGGACCCTGGCTTTGGGAGAGGGATCTTCCTTCCGGGTCTTGGACAGCTGCGGTCCAGATGCCGCCTGATGAGAGCCTTTGGGCAGAAAAAGGGCTCTGCAAAAGCGCCCCCTGTTCATGCCTCTTCTTCACACCACCGCGCGCCGCACGCGCCCTGGGCGCACCCGCCAGTCGCCCGCTGTCACGGCGGCCCTGGGCGTCCGCGCCGGGAAGGAGATCATCACGGAGACGCCGCCGTTGGTCACTTGGACCCGCTCAGCCAACAGGCGATTGGGCAGCTCCTCAACTGTCCAGCTGGTAGGATCATGGGGCCTGCATTATGGTCATATATAATATGCATGTTAGCTGCTTGAATCTGTTTGACACCATGTGTGAGGTCCAGATCGTTACTGACATTCGAGCTGCCAGCTCTTTCACCATGAGATTCTTCTCTCAAATTCCCAAACAGTATGTTGAAACATCTTTGTTACATACCTGCACTGGGACGAAGAAGCCAAGAGTCTTTGCGGAAGTAAGTGGGAAGCCACGAACATCCACAGGTTACCACAGGTCACACTGATTAAGGGTGCCACACCTGGCCTTCCCCCTAATAGAAACTCTCACCGTTCCTCCTCTCGTCGTGCGAGCATCGGACGCGGCTCTGCCGAGTTGCCGAGTTGTTCGGGTAGGTCATGTAGATGTCGAATTCTTTCATTTCCTGGTTCTTAACGATTGACACCCCCAGTTCCCCATACGCACAAAAGAACGCCCAAGGACATACTGGATGATGACGGGTGTGTGTGTGTGTGTGTCCACCCCTGGACCAAGGGTTTCGTCCAACCGATCCACCTGCCACGTGTACCACCACCGATTCACAAGCAGGGGCGTCAGGCTCGATACACCTACCTGACGCAACGAAGCTCTGGTGTATCGAGGGATGGGTGGACTGATCATCCACCTGTACCTGCTTCAACGGTTGAGCAAGCTGTTCCAATCCTCCTTTTTGATTCCATGGTGGTTCATGATACTTCCCACAAACCCTTCCACTTTCTCACGCAGCTGAATTGTACAGAGGCTCGCCACCGCACACCTGTCGAAACTTTGTTCAACAATACGGTTTTGCTGACTCACGCACCTTTCCGTTCCCTCACCTTCCTTCCCAACGTGGGAACTGAGTCACTGAAAACCAATGTCAGAGTGTGTTTCGCTCAGCCGTCCCACTCGGGTGCTGAGTGTGATCCCCGTCACAGGGGCGCCGTTTTTTGCATAGGAAATCATCCACCCCAACTTGCCACCTTTCACCGGATTTCCACTGGAAGTCATTGACACATCCATAGAATCAACTGATGCATTGGCCGCCGGGCCCAAAAACGGGATTACTTCGACAGCCGCCGGGCTTAAAACGGTGCGGTGCTCAAACCCCCCAATGAGGCAGGTTCCCCCA